CCACAGTCAGTTAAATAGAGCTGATTAATTCGAGATTCTTTTTTTAAGTTGTAACGAGTCGTAATTCGGTGTTATTAATATTCCATCCCCATTTGAGGTCAAGACAACACAACTATTAAACGCGGCCTACTGGATCAGAAAAATCACTGTTTGGCAATGTTTGATGTCATGGAGACTGACGAATTGAGAAGATGGAGGTAAATCAACAAACAAACAAAAAAGCATACGTTCTAGAGTGAGGATATACAGTTTAGTAGAATAATCTAATCAGAGAGGGCTATTTGATGTAACTGATGCAATGTCGCGTGGGTGATGTATTGACGATAAAGTGTATAAATCTAGTTGTTATTTTTAGCCAAAAAATCCTCTAACGCGTCGTGAAGCTAGAATTCATGTTTTATGGGTACTTGATACCGAAAAATCGAATGACAGCAAAACGTCTGTCCGTCTGTGAACAACGCTCGCGACTCCACTGTTCAGCCGGTTTTCTCCAAAATTGATTATCGATTAATCCGATCCTTAATCGATTTTGCTGATGTCGCGACTCCTTGAATTTGAAACCGATATTTCAATTTTGTGAGGTACATTACATGAAGCCCCTAAGACACTCCCCCCCCCCCAAAAAATGGTTCCATCATTTTTTATTCAATTTTGTTGTTGGGTAGGGTGAAGGGCGTTTAAGTGAATGGTACAGGTCTGATTCGCGTTGAAAACCCTAGCTTTTCGAAAATTACAAAAATTCAATTTTTTCGGCGTCTTCCTACAACTAAAATATTTAAAATATATTTTGTCCTTAATGAAGTCTGTTCTTTAAAGATAGATTTAAAAATAAGTTCATTTACAATTTCTTGAAAATTTGAGAACTTAATTCCGCGTGAAAGTACGTGCTGTTTTAGTTTTTCGTTGACGTTAGTCGCTCTGCAGTACCTCCTGCCGCGAGGGCCGAGGATCGATTCCCCGCCCGCTGCAGGTGCTGCTCGCGCGCGTGGGCGGGGGCGGGGCCGGGGCCGGGGCGCAGCTGCTGGAGCTGCACCGCGTGGCGCCGGGTGCAGAGCTGCGCGCAGCGGCGGTGGGCGCGTGGCGCGCAGGCCGGGGCGTGTGCTGGCGCGCACTGCGCGTGCTGTCTGCGCGGCGCAGCGACCTGCGCGGCGCCACCCTCAACGCCTCCATGGTGGTGAGTGGCGTTGCAAGGGGCCGACCATAAATTACGTAACGCAAAAGACGGGGGAGGGGTTTGAAGCAGCGTTACGCTGCGTTACATAGGGGTAGGGGGATATTTCATTTGTGATATGTATCATTGAACGTTTTCACATTTTTTAACATTTGTTGAAATATTTTCTTTTTTGTCACATTAAAACATGAAAATTTTATCTAATTAATTTGTTTTAAAACAAAATTATTTCCAGCTATAATAAGTTGATACTGAATGAATGAATGAAATGAATTCTTTGTTTGAACTCTTTTTTACTGAATATAATGTATTTTCACATTTTGCATTAACATAGAGAGTGAGGGGTTGTCGCGAGCGTTTCGTAATTATTATAAAGGGTTCAATCGCGCGTTACGGGTGCATTAGGGGAAGAGGGGGTTTTCAAAATACTCCAAATATGCGGTACGAAATTTATGGGCGACGCCCAAGGAATCGAAGGTTTTGTTTGCTCTTGTTTGTGGGCCTGATGTCAAATAGCACAGGTACATGCACAGAGTTGTCAGATCCAAAGACTTGACATATGACAGTCGACGTGCTAAACCCGAATCCGAAGCCAAAAGTGCGCTCCCACCCACTGGTTTTTTTATCGAAAAAAAAAAAAATAAAAAAGGAAAGTGGTGGCGTAATTCTGGCTTCGGATGCAGCGCATCGACTTACATAGAGAAACATGTGTCAAGTCTTTAGGTTTGACATCCACCCCCGAAAACAAAAAAATCTATTTCAAGGTTTTTTTATCTTCAATCTGTTTCAAGGTGTTGTTGGCGCAATTCTGGCTTAGATTCGCATTCAGCGCGTCGACATACACACAGAAGTCTTCGGTTCAGACGTTTTTGTTTTATTCTGTGCGTCTGTGCAATCATTGCGATCGAATAGAGATGAATGAATACTGAATTTGATTTTCCTTCTTAATTATTTCTACTTTAAAATAATTACGAAATAGAAAGTTTGTACATTAATTTAGTGAGGTTAAACGAAGTTCTTTCTAAATGAAAATTATAAACATGAGATTCAACGCACGAGATGGAAGATTCGATCAGTACATTCGAGTCGAGAACACATTAGGTGTGTATTTTTAGTTGCGTGACCATATCCAATAGTATTTCCATGTTTAGTCTCAACAGATTCTGTTTGATCGTAAAGAATATGCTTTCATTTGTGATAGATAATCGTGGTTATTATGAAGAGGGTAAGATCGCCTTATTAAGAAAGTCATTATTAATGAATGATGTGTAAGCAAAAATTAAGTCGAGATCTTTGACGAGATCTAAACCTTACATGAAATTCGAGCACTCAGATTAACTTTTAATACAAATGATGAATTATAAGATAGCTAGGTCATGAAAAGAAAATTATTAAAGTGTGCGTGAAGTTTATATTATTTTCATCAGTTCACTCACCCTCGGACCCATTCAAAAGCTATATTTCGATGCTTATAATAATTAATTTTATGCTACGATCTTCGCAGTGCCTCAAAAAATGTCATAAACATTCAACAACTTTATACATATATTTTCTTTATGTATAAGATTGTTTTTCATATCTGATGTTTCTTAAACTTTCTCACTGAACGCTTACTAATTTGCAGGTTACGAATCCAGACACTCTGAAGCACCTGGATGATCTGGTGGACAAGCACATCGACACCATAACAAAAGTCAACTATGCTCTCACGAGCCATGCCTTTGAAGCTCTTAACGCAAGGTAGAGTATTTGATTCTCAAGATCAATCGGAACAAGGAATTTGAATTTGAAAGTTTTCCAAAATTTTATGGAATCTCTGTAAACACAATTACACAGGGTTGTTAAAACTTTCGGACGATAAATAAGAGACAAAAAAGAAAGAAAATATACATATGACCGGGTAGAACAAAAATGTTCCTTCAAACACAATTCAGAATTGAAAACACACAAGTTGATATCAATGCAAATATCTTTCGAAATAATTCGTTGGAATATAATATTTATATTTAAAACATTAATAGTTTTCGTTTAGAAACAATTTGGAAGTTTTTACTTTACCAAGTTATGTAATTTCCTCTTTAAATAAAAGATTGGGTGCTAGATGTTTTATGACTTATTAACAAATTTATCAAGCTGTAATCAATATATTGAAACAATCGCCAAGAATGAGTCGGGTTATAGTAACGAAGCAAAATTAGTGAGTTTTAATGTCCGAAGAGTGCTTTTAAATGCAAAGATTAGTGAGGATAAAAAGTTACACATGTGTCTCAATATCTCACTCTCGAAATCGTTTCTATAAGTATAATTATACGAGTTGCATTTTGTTTTTAAATTAAGATGGATAGCAGAATTTCCGTCTAAAGCGCACCGCAACAGATACATGCCTTGGTAAATGTAAAAAAAAATTAATCACACTTTCAGAAACGTATTTAACTCTGTGTCACATTGATTAGTGATTTGCATTATTACGAAATTTGTCAATCTCCCTCACTTAATCATTTTGGAGAATAAATACTAAACAACATGAAACGTGTATGCGTAGTGAGGTTTCTATTTTCCCTAGAGAGCATATGTACTACTTTTATGTTGTAACGTTTCAAAAGCTCTTTTGTTAGCGTGATGCAATTGCATGCGTTCAACTACTTTGAGCTTATAACATTAAAGCTTTCCATTAGTAATTAAAGTCTTTAATGTTAATTAAAGTCTTTAATTACTTAATTAAATATTTATTTGAAAAGAAAACCTACTACTTGACTGTCAAATGTTCGTAATGGAATTCAGTTTGAACAAAAAAGAGTGAACTTTTCCTACTTACTTTTACCTAATTTTTTTAGATATGAGCGTTTTGCCGTTCACGGACGTATCAAAACCACCGAGTGTTGCGTTTTGTGAACCCCATACGGTTCACAGGACAGTGAACAGTTAACATTTAGACTCTACTGACCCTTTGCTATGCTCATGTGTTCATCTAGTGCGCAGTTAATCATCGTTGACTCGTGGGGCTATCCGACCAATGGCTCGTGGAGTGGCATGGTGGGCGACCTTCAGTTTGGACGGGCTGAAGTTGGCGCCACTGCTCTCTTCGTCACTGCTGAGCGCCTGCCTGTCATCGACTACATTGCTATGACCACGCCCACACGGTACCGTTTTCATTATTAAAACAAGTACATCAATACATTTCTACGAAACTCCACATACTTTTATGAATACTTTTACTAGTGGTTTATAAATTATTGTATTCTAAATGATACGACATACTCGTGAAAAATGTCTTCTTAAGATAACAAGAATTTATATTAATATAATTTGCCATCATTACAAATAGTTTGATTGCTGTGAAGATTTAACTAAGTAAAGGCAGGAAGGTTAACTGCGAAACGGAGCTATAGCGGAGCCGAGGGTCTTGATACGTTTTAAATAACAATTGCTGTCCTCTAAACTATTTTTAATGGACTTTCGAGTATTTTAATGGACATTGCTACGAAACCGCTTTTGATTCGTTGTTTAGATGGTTGCTAAAGAGCTAAGCGTGTATTTATGAACGTAAATAACAAGCAAGAACGAAACACAAAAATGAATGCCATTCGGTTTACTTAAGTGCGATCTAAAATTGGAAACTAATCAAGATGCGTTTGTTTTGTCTCTGACAGAGCAGCGTTCGTGTTCCGGCAGCCGCCGCTGTCGTACGTGAGCAACCTGTTCACGCTGCCGTTCCGCACGCCCGTGTGGGTGGCGAGCGGCGCTCTGCTCGGATTGGCCGCCGCACTGCTGCTGCTCGCGGTGCACTGGGAGACGCGCGCCGACGCCCACGACCCCGCCTCCGCGTCCGCCCCCACCCACGCCCCCGCCCGCGCCTTCGCCCCCGCGCCCGCGCCGCCCGACCACGGCCAGCTGCAGGCACGCTGGAGCGACGTCCTCATGCTCACGCTCGGCGCCGTCTGCCAGCAGGGTGAGCGTATTCACGTTCGTTTCGTCTTTTACCCAAATGAGTGGGTAAGATTTGAATTCGCGAAAAACCTTTTATAAAAACCCATGTGTTACCGTATTGAATTTGAATTGAATTTGCCTTATTTTACGTGGCGAGACTCGGGGCATCAGACCCGCTCTTCCGTCTGACCACGCAAATTTTGCTACGCTCCTTTCACCAACTAGCGGAGAAACGAGGTATTCACGCAAGGGAACCAGTTTAAGTACTCTGGAGCAGCTATATCCTTACATTGGGCGCCGTCTGCCAATAGGATGAGCGTGATCTTTCCTCTCCTTGTCATATTCATCTAACGGGGCCACTTTAAGCACTCTAGAGCAAGGATACCCTTACATTGGACGCAATCTGCCAGCAGGGTGAACATGCCCTTTCTTCTCTTTGTCATATTCATTACGCCGGGTCACTTAAAAACTTTCGAGCAACGATATCCTTACATTGAGCGCCGTGTAACAGAAGAGTAAATACGTTCCTTCCTCCCTTTGTCGTATTCATCGAGCAGGGTCACATTAAGTACCCTGGAGCAGGGATATCCTTACATTGAGCGCCGTCTGCCATTCGGATGAGCATGCTCTTTCCTCTCTTTGTCATATTCACCATGCCATGTTTTGTCGAACGATGCCCGTTCAAGCGCACAGAAGCGGCTACATTTGCATCATACGTTAAACGGCGTCTGCCGAGATGTATCCTTGGTATGGTTTTATATTTATGTAATGGGGGCAATTTTGAGCCACTGGAGCTAGGGTATTGTTACATTAAGTGCCTACCAGTATGCTGAGCATGCTGCCTGCTCTTTTCGGAGCTTTCTTTTCCCGTATACGTACATAATATGGAATATTATACGTAATATAGATAAGGTTGTTGTGGCGAATGGTGTCGGTTTTTGACGAGAAAACTTGGTTTGCGGCTCCCTGATGCCGTAAAGAGTAGAGTTTTCATTATAGATGAACATTATTGTTTAATATCTATGTCAAAACAGAAGTTTCACAGTGTTTCTAATAAGAACAATTATTTTAGGCGCCAATAAACGTCAGCTGGGACAGTGTTGAGCAAAACGGAAAAGTTAGCCCAGACTAAAGACATTAGAAAACTAACTAATATGAGAAAGTCTGAAATTTTGTGTCACCACTAGTTTTCATATGTCATGAATACGGCCACTTCAGGCACACCGTGTCACCGTGGTATTTTGTGGTGTCTTGCAGTAGGGAACTCTCCTAAATATAACGCTTTTCGTGTGTGTGAAGCAACGACGTCTTGTTTATGCTGACGGCTGTCCGCTAGCAGACAAGAGCTCAATAGACCCACGGAAACTGTGATGGCAGGTTGTTTGCTGAAAGCCCACGATTTCTATTTTTAGATGTCGGGAGTTTTTTGAGCACCTTCTGATTGAATATAAAATTATGATTTAAACGTTTGCATGTATTTATTCTCCATTGGATCAGTAATATAGATGTATAAAATGTTTCATACATTTGTGTATCGTGCCTCTAAATTGAGAATTTGAGAACTTTTTACGGGCTTAACCCGAATAATGTGATTATGAAATTGACTACTTTATATGAAGGTGAATGAAATTAACTACTTTATATGAAGTTTAATAGTTTATGAACTGTAACAAAGACGTTGCTTCTGTGTTTCCGTAGGTTCTCCCACTGAATCGCGTGGTGCCTCTGGCCGCATTGTAAGCTTCATGCTGTTTGTCCTCGTGATCTTCCTCTACACTTCCTATTCGGCCAACATTGTGGCTCTTTTGCAGTCTTCTACATCATCAATTCGCACGCTTTCAGACCTTTTACACAGCAGATTGGATGTCGGGGTTCATGATATGGTCTACAATAGACACTATTTTAAGGTAAGTTTCATAAATATTTAACCTTAAAAATGTTGTGATAATACACTATCTGATACACAAAAACCAATGTTTGTTTGTATTTTATGCGTTGCAGTATCTTTCATCCGATTTCGATGAAACTTTGTACATTAATTGTTTACACTTACGCATAGTACAATGACAAGGTGCATTAGTCGCACATAGACGCACAATGATGATTAGAGGACGGATTTTAATGACATGACATTTTTTTCACTTTAGAATAATGTCGTTTAGTGTAGAAATTCATTTTATGTTATAACGAAAGGAAATGAGCCATTCTTATGTCATTTTTCGTCGATTTGACTAATATGTCATTTATTACCTTCTAGCGTAATTTTTACTGCATTTTTCACTGATTTCATTTGTTTTAATATCTTTTTAATGGTACTTGCTTCAAACAATATTTACAAGTGGTAACAAATGTTCAATACAAAATTCCTGAGTAGTATATTTGATTACTTCGCTCATATATTGTAATGTCGGCCGTTGTGAGTACTATGTATTCCAAGGTTCCTGTGACGTTTATCGGTACCATTGTCAGTTCGGCTGATTTTACGAAAAATAAAGGCAGATATTTTCTTCTAAAGAACAGTCCAAATCCAAAGTTTGCCAGCTGAGTTCACTTGAACACAAAGAGAAGTACTCGATTACATCAGTAACATATCCAACAGCTTGAGTTGTTCATCTGAAGTCGTTTTGATCGATTTTCTACGTCATATTTGGTTGTTTTAGGGCATTTTTAAAGCATTTTATTGATTATTGGAAATGTTTTAGGTCATCAAAATCCGCCCCCTAATGATGATTTTATGCCTTTATGCCGACTCCAGCGCCCCTGAACAGAAGCGGTACGCAACCCGCCACGCACTCAAGTATTATGCGCGTCTTCTCTGCATATTCTGCCCCTTAGATTCTGAAATATCGGCCGGAATAATTATTTGGACCTTATATCTGACTAGTAAATCAAATTTCCCCAAGACTGTCATAGCGAATGTATGCCTAAACTTGAGGGAGAACGTTTTAACAATACGATATTTGACAAGCATGTCCAAATCAGGACAGAACAAACCTATACTCTCGAGTCTTTCATCTATAAAAGTTTTAAAGAGCGCAAAACATGATTAAAAATCACGTGTTCTCTAACGTGTGGAGAGTAAATCATTGCAATAGCGAAGCATTGCCGGATCCACTAGTACTTAATATTTCTTAAGTAGGAGCTCTGAAGAGGCCATGGAATCATGGCTGTCTTTAGAGGCCACTTACTACAGACCTCCACAGCTAAACCGTTGATGTCATACGATCAAGCGCGTGCATTGTTAATCAGATGAGAGAGACCAGATGTGGGGAAATTTTCTTTTACAAATGGAACAATAAAAGAATGGAATACATTGTCTGCAAAAACCTTCGAACTCTTTCCTCGTAGCGTACACCAATTTAGGAAATTAATTTAGGGTATTACTATATAAATGAGGGAATTAGTTGACAATAGTAGGTTATAGAGCAATGCGTCAGTAATATATTGTGAAGTGAGGTGTCGTGAAGTGTAGAACAGAGAAATAATGTAAGAAATGATTAAAGGGTGATAGTGAAAACTGTAGTTAAGTGAAGTGAAGTGAAGTGAAGTGAAGTGTAGTGAAGTGCAGTTGAACAAAGATTCAGTGCGGAGTTTGATTATGTTTCTTTTTTTAAGGTAATTTTAAATGTTTTATGAATTAGACAGTTTTATATCATTATTATTTTTATTATTAATGTTATTTTTATTATCATTATTTTATTATTATTATTATTATTATTATTATTATTATTATTATTATTATATAATTTGCATGTCAGCTGTAGTAGTTTATTTATGTAATTAGCTGCCACCGGGTTACGCCCATTTGCAGTTCAAATAAATGTGTCTTAGATCGCGAGCGACCCCGTGCGGAGCGCGCTCTACCGCAAGAAGGTGGCGCCGCCTGGGGCCAAGGACCGCTTCATGGCGCTGGAGGAGGGCATCGAGAGGGTGCGCCTGGGGCTGTTCGCCTTCCACTCGGAGCTCAGCTCGGGCTACAACGTCATCCAGCGCACGTTCCGAGAGGACGAGAAGTGCGGCCTGCAGACCATCCCGTTCCTGCAGGTGGTCGACCCGTACCTCGCCCTCAGGAAGAACTCGGCTTACAAGGAGTTATTCCGGGTCGTGTAAGTGCACCTCAAACGCTTACGAGGTAACCGATCGCTTGCGAGAGGAGTTTCCAAAAGATCCCCAACTGACGTCCTTCGCCCATGGACTCTACCCATAATGCCCAAACAATAATTTGTGGCTTTTTGAAGCTTAACGTTAGAGCCAGTAATTGTGTACATTTTCCCACCTTCTCGGGCGTCAGATAGAGGAAAGAATATCGCCCGTAAGTACTATTTCGAGCATATCCCAAAAAAGGTCAGGTTGAGAAGGTTTGAACCTGCGACGTATGACGCAAACAGTTGTTGACACACATGTCACTGAGACAGAAGAATAAGTGACCAGTGGAAAGACAATTGAGACGCTCAATATAACGACAGATCCCAACCCACCACGCATTAAGAGTTTAGACTAAGACGGCAATCTCCTGCCATATACCCATCATATACTGAAATATCACATGAATTGGGACATGGCAAAACCCTCAAATTCCACATTCACAACTTTGTGAGAGAGAATGTCATTTTTCTCAAAACGAACTTCCGTTGGGATCTGCCATCATTACTCTGAGCGCCTCAATTCATATATGTGCCGAATGCCTCGCTTGCGACATAACCTGAGAGACTATATACACATATACACATATACACATATACACATATACACATATACACATATATTCACATATACACATATATTCACATATACACATATATTCACATATACACATATATTCACATATACATATGTTCACATATACATATATTCACATATACATATATTCACATATACATATATTCACATATACATATATTCACATATACATATACATACACATATACATATACATACACATATACATATACACACGTGTGTGTGCGTGTGCGTGCGGTGGTGCTGCAGGTTCCGCAAGATGCTGGAGCGCGGCGTGCAGACGCGCACGGTGCGCCGCCTGTACACCAAGAAGCCCGAGTGCGTGGGCAAGGGCTCGAGCTTCGTGAGCGTGGGCACCATCGAGTGCTACCCCGCGCTGCTCGTGCTGGCGTACGGCGCGGGGCTGGCGCTGGCCGCACTCGGCGCCGAGCGGCTGCTGCGACGCAGGTGCGACGCCCCTCAGCGAAGCGAAACTCAATGTGACGACCTTGTTGGTGCTCGGGATCTAAAGCGACGTGGTAACGCCCAGAAGGCGCGTTCTAGTGACAAGCAATAGCTGAAGCTGTAATGACATCAGCTACCCTTGTGTCCACCACGACGGAGAAAGTAAATAAATTGGGGTGTCAAGTTGGCACAATCACATCAAACCAAATGGAATATTTAGTACACCTTTATCACTCAAAAATTAAATTTATTGCGACGAGAGAAAGAGAGAGAGAGGGAAAGAGAGGCAAGGAGGGGGAGAGAAAGAGAGACAAGGAGGGAGAGAGCGAGAGAGAGAGTCCCCAGTAGACATTTTAAGGAAATATAAGAATACTCTGTGTGTATACCGTTTGGTGAATAACCTGTTAAGTTGCACCCACCGCTTGTTATCCGACTACAACAAATGAGTACCTAATGTTTCAATTGGCTTAATTTAATAGTGATATATCACACGGGTATGATCGTCACTAGAGCAAACGTACTTCAAATTCATTGTTAAAAATGTATTAATCGAATAAAAAGACCATAAATTAGTATACATTCTTCCAATTGGTATTATTTGTTGTGTCCGTTTGTTCTATTATCATATTTGAAGGTTGGATAAATATGATTCAGTTTTTAGCAATATTTATTTAATAAACGGCAACAGTAATAAATTTCATTTTGGGTAATAAATGTGAATTAATATTCGTATTAATTTGAATCGATTGTTCCTGTTTGTAATTTTTTTGCGCCAGCTTGACCGCCACGATAGAACAACCACATTTATTTCATAAATGAGCCAGAGTAATATTTTGTAAAAATATTTTGGTAATAAATGAGTACTAAATATTCCATTTGGTTTGATGTAATTGTGCTATAGTGGTTGTGCAAGCTAGACACACCCAATAAATTGTGTAAAAAGGACGAAATTCGCTTCGCAATAAAACGCGCCTGGTTTGCCTTTAACGGCTACGTAATATTGTTATAAATATTGTTATACCGCAATTCCTATCCGTATCAACACATACTGCGGCGACGAGCGCTGACAACACTTCACTCGTACTCATTTTCTTATCAATTTTTGCTGAAAAGACATGATTGTCATAAATGTCACTGTTTTTCAGTTTTCATTGTTTTGAATTTAAGGAAGTTCTTAGAACACATTCTTTATGGTACACTATTGCTTCGTTTATGAATATTTAAAATTATTTTTCTCCGTGTCTCCATGTGTGATCGAAGTTTATTCTTAATTTTTTCATTTTCTTTTAAAAGAATACTTACCACTAAATAAATCAATAACTAGTCTCTTCATAATAATTAAAACATAACTATAATGTCTTCAAACACACATTGAAGTTATTGATTCCTTGGAAAGTAGGAAAGTATAAGCTTGCTAAAACGTGTTATTTTTGCTGCCAACTTGCCTTCCAAATCTGTTCAAACTTCGAACAGTTGCTTTTGAAAAAGTTAAAATAATATGAAATGAACGAATTCTATTATAAACAAATTTGTAGATAGGATAGTTAAATATTACTAACTTCTAACTTGTTCTTTTCCATTGGGTACATTCCAATAAACGTGTGAAGTGACAAATACCACAAACGTCTCCAAATCTTATCGGATAAAAAAGCTCACTTTAAGCACATTATAATAAGTTTACGATAACTGTTACAAAAAGTTGTTTATCATTTCAATTTTTAATACATGACACTTATGTGTCTGAAATTGTTTATGCTTGCTACTCAGAGAGAGATGTTTCGCCGCCTAAACCCACGCCGAAGCGCGGGAAATTCGAATTAACCATTTCGATTTTGTTTTATTCTCGAAAATACAGAGAGTGTGCCGAAAATGGGAGCAACAACACCTTCTCACGGAAAGTAATACGGCATAACAGAAGTGTACTTGATAGGTTTTTGGATTTAAAGAGCAAATTTGTTTTTAATCATTCACATTCAAGTACAAATTCTTTTCTAACCATATGGTTTAAACAAGCCTACCCTGATGTAATCGATACTTGTATGTTACAGGAAACAATCTCCAGTTCACGAATTCCGAAATTGAAGAATCTCACACGAAGCTGGGTAGAAGTACATTATGAAACTAGATATTTAGCGAATAGAATAATACACAATAATAATCTGAAGATCAACAGTTAGTTATTCAAAGTCTCGTAGATTAACCTTACCAAATATACAGTAAACTTAGCAGCACCAGTAGTAAGTTAACTAGTAGAGTTATTATACTCTTATACAGGAAGGGAGCCTGATTTGCTATTTGTTCAGAGTTGTCTAATTATTCTGCAATGCCATAAATGTACAGGGATCATTATCTGATGTTCGGTGTCGGGTTTTTCCGGAAGCGGATGTGTAAAACCTAGGAAACGAGAACGTCTTGTAACTTTACATTGTTTAAATTGATGTTGCATCGCATCTGTATGTAAAGGTAGAGCACAGTAATATGTTATCTATGCACCATATAAGTTTAACTAAATAATAGCAGTTTCTTTTAGGAAACGATGGTTCTACACAAAAGTATGAAGGACACTCTCAAATTCAGACGGGCATTGAATATTTGATTGTTACATATTAGGCATTATATTTTTATAATTATTATTATTTTATGATGTATTTTATTACATGTAGTATAGTTCCACACTGGGACGTCAACATTCATTGCGAAATTAATTCTGATCAAGATTAGACATTAAATGTTTCTTTGTATAATTAATGTTTGTAGGCATAACCTTGTCTCAGATAAATAGGTGCTCTCCTTAATTTTACATTGCTCATTTAAAACTGGAACCATGGGCGTGTAACAAAAGCAGAATTCACAAAAGTATCTCATATTTTACCTTCTTTATACTATTACTTTAGTTTCAATGAAAAATACAGAACTAAATATGGTGAGAAAAAAAAACATTCCATTGAGAAAAGGTATCAATATTTGTATACTAAAGATTTTTTCGATTGCCTGACGATCATCATTAGAGCTTGCAGCGTCTGAGTGCAAAACGAAATTGTGTCTGCGCGAAAAACTGAATTTCGTTTTCTACACAGACGCTGCAAGCATTGATCGTGATAGCTGTGCGATCGAAAAGATCTTTATTATTAATTCATTCGTAAGGATGAGAAAGTAAAAATATTGATACCGAGACATCTTTTCTCAATTTAATGCAAGGTATCAACCTCACTAGCAATATTATTAGCAACATTCCTCTATTAAGCACTTACTGAATATTACTACATAATAACTTTAATAAATGATACACTAAGATAAAGACTGTGATATAATCCTACGCAGATGTAATATTGATGTTTTTCATTAAATTGATCGTGCGTAACAGATTCTCATCTATTGCCTCTGAGAAATAACAGCTGTATATCTAAGAGAAAAACATCAATGCAGAGTGCACATTACTCCTTCACTTTAACCCCTCAGATCTGTCATTCAGAAGTCTTCCTTTCATTTACAGTAGCTAGATGAGTAAAGAAGGAATGCCATTCGCAATGACACAGTAGCCACACACACGATAGGCTACATCTGCTCTTAACTAGTGTCCTGAATGTAGTGTGAATATATACATGACAAGAAACATCTTCGTTTATTGACTTACTAGAAATACTTTGAAATAGCAAAGATCACGTAGCCTAGTTGAACAATATTCAGAGTTCATATAGTAGGAAGAGTTGTAAGTAAAAAATATGCAGAGAGAAATAATTCAGCTATTTAAATATTTTAAATTCATAAAACTATACTTACATAAGATAATTATTTTTGTCATATTGCAAGAACGACAATTCATCTTATTTTTAGAATGTAGTGTAAGACTTTTTTTTAAATTTATCTTATTTATTAAAGAATTAATATAATTATTTCGATCATGTTTCAGTATATGAATGAAACATTTTAAAAATATATATGATTTATACCCATACAGATCGCGATCGCTAATTACGACTCAGCATATACAAGCACACAAAACATTAAAATTTCAAGATAAAGAGTTCGACGCTCATACTTCAGCACTTTTCATGGATCAAAACCACTCCCTTAGTTTGTGATATGCGAACTGAGTGACAACATGCGATATCTGATTCAAAGTTGTGGGGATCCACTCAAATCTCGGCTCTAATGATAAACCGCGCGTTTTACTTCTATTTCGAAATCAGTAATTTAATAATAAGAAAAGCAGCTTCAAAGAAAAAAGAGCAGCGCGAGGAATTCAGTAGCAGATGCCTTGTGTTTACAAGAATCATTTTGAAGCAAATGGTTGCGCCCTGTTGTTAGTGGGGCTGCTCTTTATGGCACGCATATGGGCGTGGTCCGCATCGAAGCGGTCCGTAACGGACACCAGAAGTTCTCGCGCGTGAATTATGAAGAGAAGTGCTTGCAAGGTTACCGTGTTACACGTGCCCCTGCAAGACCACATACGACAGATGTGGCCGTGGGCGTTACAGCCTATGACGCTGATCGCCGCCAAGGTGGCGGAGACAGAGGCTGCGAGGAGTATTCCTCAAGGGCCTGAGAGAGTCGTTCTCCTGGAGCTGATTGCCGACGTCTGGAAGCCACATCTCCGGTGGCTCCTAGGCCAAGAGTCGTGGCATACGTCTGCGGGGGAGCAGGCACTTTCTCTTTATTCGAAGACTGTGATGCAAACGGCAAAAGGCACCGCTCCTCGTTCAACTTAAGTAGATCACCGGGTTAATCAATAAATTTTATATGAATTAGTTATATGACTCAACAATTAAACGGATAATTCAAAATATTCAAATAAAAAAAATTAAATGGAGATAAATGTTCTTTTTTTTTAACATCGCCTACCAAAACAAGTTACTTTTAGGGTAAGCAAAGGATTATAAAAGTTCAAATTTTATCACTGGCACTAAAAGTGAGACAATATTCATTTCATTTAGATAAAACTGTGAATATAACAAAGAAAACAAAATACTTTCATCTGATCGCATAAACTCCTACTGACTGTAATACAAAATAATTTTATTTGTATGTTTGAATTAAAATATAATGAATGTCAAAAAGGCTGTGTAAAAAGTAGTATACGTCACACATGGTAAGATTGATTTTATTTTGTTC